TCCGCTGGTGTCAAATTGTGGTAGAGTGTCAGTTTCTCTCACTCATCTCAAGTCAGTGCACGCCTCCCTGCCCATCCTGTTTTCGACTCCATTCGCAGATTGCCGTTCTCAGAGCTTCCGCGCGTCTCTCTCCTTGCTGAGCCGCTGTAGAGGCAGCCAGCCGCTGCGCAGCGGGAAACCCAAATCGTGGCTTCCAATGGCGCTGAGTCCAGCCTCCACACCGAGGCTTTTCTGTTCCTGTTTTAGCACCAGGACTGCATTCCAAGTTGGTTTCTCTCAGCCCAGTTCGTTCCTGAGTCAGCAGAGCATATCTCCACCCGCTTATGTGTCCTTAGTCCACACCATTCCTGGCTTTTGAGCCAAGTCTTTCAGAGAGCCTCCGGTAGTTGCTGTTATCTGTCTGCCATGTTCTCCCGGAAGTCTCAAATAAAATTAAAAAAAAAACTAAATCAAGACTTAAGATTGCAATTACAACTACAATTGCAACAAGCTCAAGTGATCTAAAAGATTTTAATGAAACACTTTAGAATCTATATAGTGAAGCCTAAAAGACAATATTTCATGCCTACATTTTGTACTCTGAATAACAACTATGAAGATAATAATATACCATGTATTAATTATTATTATTCAACCTGTTTTGAAATTGTTTCACTGTTTTTTTCTCTTTAAAATATAAAAAATAGAGCCTAAGAATGGAAAAATATACATACACATATGACTAACAAATATAATGAATATATAAATTTTTGAACTTTTTACAGTGAAAGACATATTGCCATTAATCCCTTCCAGAACATTCCCCTGCCTTTGAACACACTCAGCTCAGCACCCTTGCCACTCTTTGAAGCAGTTGTGGAAGATCTCTTTCATGAGTATTCTTATTTGTGCCTATTGTGGATGCCTTGATGCCCTGAACTGAATAAAAACAATTTCTGTCAAACAGAAATACTCTTGTGTCCTCATCCACCTTATTTACTGGATCTGGTACCATGCAACTTCTGCCTCTTACCAAAGCCAAAATGACCGTGCAAGGTAAAGGTTTTGAATGGATCCAGGACACGAGGGCAGCCACAACACTACCACTAAAGACATGGAAGAGGACTTCCGCAACTGCTTCAGAAAGCAGCAACAATATGAGATAAATGTCCTCAAAGCAACATGGAGAATGCTGACGGGGATTAATGCCAATGTGTATTTTACTGTGATAAATTTTTCTTTACTTAAACAATTACCATATTTGTTGAGCATATCTCTTATTACCCGAGAAATTAAATACCTGGAAGTTGGGCTAATAATATTATATGCAGAGCTGAAGTAAAGTGGGATAGTAAAGGTCGATACAAAAGTTTCAGTATATGTTTGAGAGCTGGTCCTCAGAGAACTAACAGGTGAAAGAGAGGAAGAAATGAGAGTCAGCTCTTAAATTGAACAATCTGATCAGCTTTAGAAAAGTAACATACAGAGACAAGATTTGAATACCATAAGTGAACACCCCGATCTAACAGTAATATAAAGTAGTCTGCACCTGAGTGAATCTGTAGGGAGAGACCTATGGTCTCCATCAAACACAAATGCTTTAATTCATGTAAAGTAACCAAAAGTGGAATTTCAGTAGATTCCTTATAAATGGGTGTCATACAAACAAGGTCACACTTGCTAATCACAATACAGTAGTATTAGAAAGAACAATAACTCAAATCTTTATGTTCAGAGATTGAAGTCATTACATGTAGAATGATTCATGAATACTTCACAGGATTAAGAAGCAACCAAAACTAGAAATTGCCAAATATTTAAGACTTTGAAGACTTCATGATGATGAAGTCACTGCATTTTACACCTGTTGCTATGGAGCCACACTATATTTAGAAAAAAACTTATAGACTGAACGGCACATATTGAAGTTGAAAAATAAGCAAAGCTTTCAACGTTCAAAACCAGAAAAAGGATATAAATAAATCTACAAGATATATAAGAAATTTAAAAATAAAGGCATATCATGATGAAATGGGAACAAGGAGATAGCAAATTTTGAGTAATAATAAGTACAACCTTAAAAAATATGAAAACAATTAGAAAAGGCATAGATTAAAGGAGAAAATATTTTTTGGTAGTTGCAGTTAAAACATTCAAAAATTCTTCCTCTATTTAGTTGTAACAATCCTTCTTCTCCATACTGGAGAAGAATCCAGACGCTTCACATTTGAGCTACATGCCCTTTTATTTTTTGAGACAGGGTCTCACTAAATCAATAAGTTGTCCAGGCTTAAATTTCAAACCACTTTACTTTAGCTTTCTAGTGTGCTAGGATTATAGGTGTGCACAACCATATTTGGCAGTGTTTATTTTTATAATGTTTATCTTGTAGAGAGTTAAAATAATTATGAATAAAATATTTGGGGGTTTCACTCAACTCAAGAGAACTCTGTTCAAATTCTGATGGTTTCTGGGTTCTATGTGTACTTAGCTACACCTTTACCTGCCAATAATGCAGTTTTGTCTTCAGATGAACAGGATGCTTGTTCTAACTGAATGATGGCTACATGAGAGTTAATATACTCATGTACTTTTATGTATGTTTAACATTTTTTGTAATCTAAAGCAAAAAACAATATTTCAAAAGAATTAAACATTTGACATTACTTAAAATTCTGTACTAATAAATTTTTAAGCTTAGACAAGAGGCACGGTAAAATGTACTGCACACATGGTATGTGCCAGTCTCTGTACTAAACTATCTATCTGTGTATGAGCTCAAAGTTGAGCTTTAGTCTCACTATCAGACTTTGGCCAGTTACTTCACGTCAATGTACTGCTTCTTCAACCTCAAGTAGAGATAGTAGTACTACATACTGTTGAGGTTATTGGGAGGGCTAAGATGGTACATGTTACATACCTAGCAGGCAGCCTGAAACATCACTAGGAGAAAAGTACATGATAATAGTTACAAAAAGAATGAGTCTTTTAAATCGTAAGGCCCACCGCATCCTGAGTAAGGCTCCATCTACACAATATATAGAGCCAAAAACTTATCACAACCGATTTCAACAGTCACATCTAGCGCTAAAGAAAAGTATGGCCAATCTTATTTTTGGATATGGATATAGAAACATAAAATACATTGTCTAATAAAATCTAGCACACTAAAACCCAACATATTAAGAGAATTACACACCAGATAAAAGAGTGTTTCTGGTGATACATTCTGGTGAAACAGTATGAAAAATCTATCCATGGATTTAGGATATGATTAAAGAGATTTCCAAAACAATCAATAGAAGATAGAACGTACATAAAAAAAATAACACATATCCATGACCCACCCAGATACTGTTAGGGAACAAAATTAGGAAGCATCCTCTTTAACCTGATAACCATTATTTGCCTACAGCTCATATTAGCATTTCATACTGGAAACTCAGAAGCTTGACTGTGAATGAAACAATACTTGCTCTCACAGCGAGTACATAAGAACTATTTAGGTAATAGTCATAGCAGTAAGAGCAAAACACAGAAGAGTAAGCAGTAAACAGACAGAGCTATTTTATCGGCAGATAAATAGGTAGGTCAAGTACACACGGAACCCAGAAGTCATCAGAATTAGATCAGAGTTCGCTTCTGTGGCTGGACACAAGTTTGCACAGGAAAATAAGTAACATTTGTATCTATCAACAGAAACTCTGCAGTACCTAGCAATAAGCTTGAAATGGAATCAGTGACGACTATGAAAAAAATTCTATACCTGATCTGAATAAGTGGAGGAAGACATACTTATGAAGGGGAAAATGAAAGACTGAAAAGATGTGGGTTTTCTGAAATTCATCTATGTAATCAGTGTAACCTAATCAAAAAGCTAACAGCTTTTGTTTTTGAAATTCTGCTTTCAAAACTTTTATGAAGCAGGATGCAATGGGGTGGAAGGTGAGAGGTATTTGGGAATAACTGCGTATGTGGGCGGAAAAATATAATTCACAGAACTCAGGGCAGAGCAAGTGTTTAGCATGTGTGAGGCCAAGCATGAGAAAAAAAGAAAAGAAAGAAATTTATAATATATCAAAGTATTCAGTAACCAATGCTGGAATAATCACTTATCTTTTGAAAAAAAAATCAGATCCTCTCCTTTACATCAAAACGAGAATAATATCCATATGAATAATTAAATATAATAAATAAAATTAGTAAACTCAGAATATCTAGAAGAACAAGAAAAAACTCTGTTTCATTCAGAGCTGTATAGAATCACTTGCCTCTTAATGATAAGCGTAAATTCTAAGAAATGCACCCCTGGGTGACTTTGTTGTTGGACAAACCACAGAGTACACACAAACCTACAGGACAGATATGAGTATTACCTAACCTTATGTGCTGTATACTTTCACATGAATGGCACAGAGAGAATTTCTGTATACCAGCACCACCGCAGACACCTGACTGCTGAGCTGTAGTAAGATGTTGTTACAGATGAGACATTACTAGGCATAGGAATTTTCAGCTCCATCATGATTTTATGGGATAATCAGAATATTATGGTTAAACAAAATATTATCTACTGCATGACCCTACATTTCCATTTTTAGCCTTCCTATTTGTAAGTTCAGTTTACCTATCTGAGATAGTTTTAAACTTCTGTTCAGAGACGTCTGCTCCTTGCTACTTTTTCACGAGCCCATGATTCAAGTTTCCCTATTGATTTTTCCTACCATACCTCCTAGTTCATCCCCAACACCAGATGTATTAGTAAACCAAAGCTACCTTTGAAGCTCTCATTTCATATTAGAGATCACCTTATGCGTCTGCTGAAGCAGTTGGAAGAGTTCACATCATAAACAAATGTTACCTCTATGCAAGTTTACAAATCCCTCTTGTCCAGCATTTCATTCACTTTTATCTCCTAGAACAGATGTGAATGTAGTCTACTTATTTTCTAAGTGATTTCATTCTAGTATATTCAGTCCCTCATGAAATCTGTAACTGCATCTTTTATTTTCTTCCATCAGGTATGGAGCAGTCTCAGCAGGAATGTTATGTGCCCTTACCACCCTGTCCCAGCAACTAGAGAATGAAAATGCGGTGGATGTTTTCCAGGTTGCAAAGATGATCAATCTTATGAGACCGGGAGTATTCACAGACATTGTAAGTAGTTTGCTGACATTTAAAACCTGTGTTATTATGCTTTCATACAGTATATCCCCGAAGTTCTCAACTGAGAGTGATTTGTCTCCCAGAAGACATTTGGCCATGTCTGTCATAGCTGCAGAAGACAATGGGTATTCTAGCATTTAGTGAGAAGAAGCCAGAGATACTGTTAAATATCCTACCATCTATAAGATAGCTCCTGACAATATAGAAATATCTGGTCCAAAATGTGCTGCAATTGAAAAATTGTGCTTTACAGTCTAGAGTTCTCTGGTTATAACATGCAGATATTTCATTCTTAGTGGGCTATCAATGATGACTGCGTCCATGTTAAGAGAAACCAAATGAATACAAAGAACCTGTGGATCATAATTATATAAGATTTAAGTGATTTTCTTAATGTCTCTTAGATAACATTTGTTTTTCCTGTCTCTCTAGTAATTTTTTCACAATTCCATTTTCCATTGGTATTTTCATAGAGTAAGATAACTGTGTTGTTCTGTGGCTCAAACTCGTCCTCCTGTTTTTCAGGAACAATACCAGTTTGTCTATAAAGCAATGCTCAGCTTGGTCAGCACTAAAGAAAATGGAAATGGCCCCATGGCAGTGGACAAAAATGGTGCTGTTCTAATTGCAGATGAATCAGATCCTGCGGAGAGTATGGAGTCTCTAGTGTGACTGGATTTCTGAAAGCGCACTTCTTTGTAGACTTCTGAAGACTGAGAACTTTTTGAGGCCTTTTTTGCCAGACTCTAGGTTATACGATAACCCAGTTACTTTTTTACACTGATAAAAGTTTTGATATTTATTTTTTGCCATTTTATGTCTTAATGGTATCCTACCGAGCATTTGCACCTCTGTTCATTTCACATGGTGAAATACAATTTTATCTAGTTTGCACTATATGATCAGTGTTACTGCCTATAATCTAATTACTAAAGCAAATCCCAATGTGACATTCCATGACAACATTCATGCTACCTTTCAGTTCAGTACAGTAAAGGTCTTTGTTATGATAATAAAATCTTGATTTTATTACTATTGCTAAAGCAGTTACATTCTACTAGCAGGCAATGTACTTTTCCTTAGTCCTCCCCTCCCATTTTTAGGCACTGTTCAATGCTGTATGACTTCTGTACTTCTAAAGTGGATGAGCATTGTCTTCTTTTATAGAATAGCAGGCTATTGGGAACTACTAAGAAGGTCTTTTACCATCATGGCCTTGATACACTTCCATTTATAATGGTTAAGAGATCCATTAGGAACTTAAGGCTTGAGTTGCTTCATGTAAACATCTCTTATAGTTACAAAGTTATATTCACAGCTTTTAAAATTGCATCAAAATAAAGGATAACTCTGTATTACAGCTTTCACAGTAGCTATGTGGACAGTGTGTGTTATTTACATTTTATTCTCTGAAATAGCTATCCCCTAAAACCAGGGCTATCTTTTATAATAGAAAGATGTGAATATTTTACATAACTCAGTTATAAATCCATTAGTTAATCCCTGCTAGTACTTAATCCTTGGTAGTACTTCTTGGTTTGTAACATTATGCCTCACAGAGAATGAAGGAAGGAGAATGAAGATTTTTCTAGGTTTATATTCTTGAAACTAGTTCTCTAAAAGTTCCCCACTACTTATATAGCAACCTAATAAAGTCTACCTATATAGTTTATATTCTTTTCTCTCCCTTTCGGCCAAATATTTCCTAATGAATCTCTTAATTTCATTCATTGATTCTTCTTAAATTTAAACTCAAAATACTGCATTAGTGAAAGTCTTGGGACCATTGAAACTCCAACGTGAACAAATCTTGATAATGAGAGAATTAAGAAATTTAAAAATTAAGTAAAAGGTGGTATCTACATTTTCAAGTAGTTTTTAAAAGGAGATAGTTCTCAACACTTTTGTGTAGTTAAGCATAAAGAACAGATAAACCTTGGTGAAAGAGGCTCGTAAATCATCAGAGAGAGGCTCAGGCAGTTACTTGTAGAGGCATTTGCTCTACAGTACAGAATGGGACAATTAGGAAATAGGACTCAGAGTTTATTAGCAATACAACCTACTTGCCAAGATATTTTACTGCAATTGCATGTTTTCTTTTATTGGGTAACCTCTGTTATCACTGGAACAACCCCTATAAAAAAAACAGGGTTTAGCCTGTGTTTATGCCAAAAACACTTCAACAAAAAGGCTACAGTGGCTGCTGTCATACTTTCTGTGTAGACATGAAACCAGGAGTGACAGTAAGCACGGAGGGTTGGGTGGCTGCCATGACATTTGTCTGTGTGATTCTGGAGGTCCAGAGTTACTAAGGAGAAAGGGACCCCAGGCGAATGCACTAACAAGGTCTGCTGAGTTTCCATGAACTATGAAGGTTATCCTCATCTTTTCATCACACAGATTCAACTATATGAAACAGTCTGCTTTTCATGAACTGTGTAGGCTAGGCTTAAGAAAAGCCATTCAAGCAAGCAGGTTTGTCAAGCTACACATGCCAGATGACACAGACACCATTTCAACCCAACAGCTCCTACCAGAAGTAATGCTCTATCTTGCACAAGAAAAGCTTGGTCATAGGAGACCTGTAGCTGCTCAAGCTAATAGGTATCAGGAAAGGAAAGGCAAGAGCTAGGTTTTTTGTCAGTTAAGTAGACATGTAGATGCTGTGCACCTGAGAGAAATCAACTAATGCTTTTCCATAGATAGCACAGTGTCTTTGAGATTCAGAAGTAAAATTTTGAGTTGCAGCTCGTGTTTCAAGTGTTCCCTCGTGTGCTATCTATAGAGGGTTCAATTCATGGAAATGCTTATCCTCTGAATCCTGTGACTGTCTCTTACACAAATGTGTGAGTGATGAGGAAGAAAGAATGCTAGTAAATAGGATAAAACATAATAAAGGTCACTTAGAAGTTCTCTTTAAGATTTTGGGTTTGATCCAAAATCTACAGATCCTAATCCACTGAGCAATGAGCAGCTGCTATTGGCCCATCTTGCCAAAATGATCCAGACACCCTTCACAAAGGAGTGATGTTGAGCAATTGCTTGCTTTCACCACAGAGCATAACCTTCTATTATTATGCATTGCCAGCAAAACATATGCTTGCATCTTCCCAGAGGCAGAATTCCAAAAATGGTATTTTCTTTGAGACATAAAAACTCCATAATTTTCTAGTGATGTCATTATCATTTGCATTCATGGGGAAAGGAAGTAACTATCTCAAGTCCACATGTGCAGTTTTACAAAATAAGGTGGCTGTATGGATTTATCTCTAGGTAAGCAGAGTGCACACATCATACAAATCTGAACTGCTGTGATCAGGACAGGTGGTTAAGCTGAACATCAAGGACATCTTGTTGCCATGAGAGTTCTTATACCCCTTAGCCATGATGCCATCTTTTATAGTTAAACAGTTCATTTCTCACATTCAAGAAGAATAAGATGACTTGCTCTTCCTAATTTTCACCCAGTGAAGCATTTACAGTCCATTTCAAGCAGAAAAGTCCAGTAAGGCCAAAGAAAAATTATAGTGTTCCAGGTATGGCTGTTGGAGTTTTTAGCCCAGAGTGACACTGCAATCAATCAGGAACCTTAACTGTTTTATAATGACAGCACAATTGCCTTCATATGACTTTTCTTAAATGCACATACACTATATTTAAAATTAAAATATATGCGCCAATTTACCAAAGATACATAGTTCTAATTCTAAGCAAAAAAAGAACAAGGAACCCAAACATAATTTAAGAGAAAATAATAAAAATGTAGTTATCTTAAGAATTTAGTGGTTATACTGGAAAATGCACTTCAATTCTAAAATTTCTGTTCAGATGGTGCCACTGGATTTTTATATGAAAGGAAAAATGCCTGCTTTTTTCTTTTCTTTTTTTTTTTTTTAGGAGCTATAATTTCATTTAACCCTTTGTCCTTTTCCTTAGTTGCCATTTAACATATAATGTTGGCTTTACTTGTCTCTAGAAAGAAGGCATGCTACAGAAATAGGGAGGAATTATTAAAAAAAAAATCTGGCCTCTATTTGTCTTAGCTGTTAAATTGTTTTTAGTATTTTTTGTTAAGTTTTTGCAAAGAGGAGCATTTTCTACAGAGGATAATTAATTTCAAGAAAAATATCTTGAGTTTTAAGAAACATCTCCAGAAAAGGAGACAGTCAATTTTATAAAATGTCGCAACTCTCCAACATTTGGGGTAGTGACTCCTTTTTGTTAGGACATTTGAAACTAGCAAGCAGCCATTGTTTCTAAAGAATTCAGCTTTCATGTTGAGTCACATTTCTTTGACTTCATTCTGAAACAGATAAAATCATTAAAACTGTAAATATTTTGTTGCTTGGGTAAGCATCTTCTGGGAACTTTGTATCTATGGTATATAATCATAGAATTTTATATTTTCATATAAAGCTAATTTTTTTCTAGTTTCAACTCCATCATAGTTTTCTTGGTTTTTTGTTTCCTTTTTTTTTTTTTTGCTTTTTGTGGTGGGTATGTGAATTCAACTTTCCGTGTACTGAAATAGCAAGAACCATCTTTGCATTCTGAAAGAATCGAACGTGTGTTATTTCTTTGAGTCAGTGATTGTGACAGTTGGGCTTTCTTTTTAATTCCACTGACCATTTGTGCAATAGGAGTTAGGCATAATTAGTCACTGAATACATTTGTCACATTGACCCCTTTGGAAAAAGTAATTTTTTTTATTTGTTGGGGAGGGAAGGGTTTTGTAACCTGAAATTTTTCCCTTTTTTCTTTTGTTTAAAACTATATCGAATCATTCTATTATAGTGTTATTTAATATGTAAATTGTATTGCTATACATAAAATAAAGTATGGTTTTTGATGTATTCATTAGTACGAGTATTTCTGTGAAAATAACTGTGGTTAGTAAAATCAGATACTAGTTTCCCCCAAACAGATCACATCAGTATCTACATGAATACATTCTGTCTTCATTTCACCGTAGTAAAATGAATATTAGTATTTATCTTTATGCAAGTAACAAACCAAAAAGAAATATCTGTGCTGGCTCAATTTATCAGTGTTCTTCCTAATTTAAAGAATAAACGATGACAAGGATTTATCAGTATATTGAATCAAACTTCATCTCCTTTATGACTGTGCTGCTAAACTGTAAAAAGAATTCTCTCCTGCCTGTCAACCACATTTCTGGTGACTTCTCCCTCTTATCATTTATTATTTGGGATGAATATCATGGGAAGACTTGGAGAATCCTTGGAATCTCTCTGTATGATCAAAACAGGTGTTTCTACTTTGAGAGAATTCTGACATTTTCAGATAGAGGCTCACAAGTCTTTTGGTCCACCATTCTCTCTTTTAGTGGCACCACATCAGTTGTTCAACTCTTACTACCAAGTTTTTTTCCATATAAGAGTCACTAGAAACAGAAATGACACCAATCCCTTCCAGGAGCATACAGAAGAAAATTTCAACTCAAAGGATGATGTAACCCAAGTTGTCTTCAAATGCTACCTATGGGACCTCTAATATTCTGCCAGAGAGTACCTCAGAGGTTTCACAAAGGGATGATTGCTAAACCAGGTTCAGTCCACAGATATATTTGGGCCTTATTTTTTTTTAAGTGTGCTAATTTACCAACATTTTTAAAACGAAAACTTGTACATTCAGATGCAGACTGTAAGCTCCTTCAAAAATGTAAGTGATGTTAGAAAAGCAGCTCACAGTTTCCCAGGGCAGTAACAAGCTGGAGAGGAGTAGCAGCTGCCCCTTGATAATGGGATGGACTGTTGAGCTTACTGAATCCACATCTGTCCCTGTCACCTTATGTCTGGCCTTCTGATCAGTCTCCCTGGATCTTGTGAGCATTTGCTTCTAAGACCATCTTCTATCTCAGGTGGGTAAACCAACATCCAAGAGCAGCAAGAGAAATATTTATGTTGGTCCTCCATCATTAAAACCCCACCAGGCTAGAGTATAATGGCACATGCTTAAAATCTAATCATTGGGAAGGCCATAGCAGGAGGATCTCTGGGTTCCAGGTCAATCTGGGCTATCTAGTAACTTTAAGGTTAGTTGAACTATACAGCAAGACCGTGTCTCAAGCAACAACAGAAACCCTGCCAGGCTGAAAATGGTACACAGGGAAGTTCTACATGCTTATTGGCCTTTTGAGTCCACCCTAAGTGATGCCTGCCATGAAACTCCAGTGATGACTCTTGCAAGTAAATCACTTTAACAACCTCACAGCTTTTACTATCTGGGATATGACCCTACTACACAAGAAAGCTTCATGTTTGTCACTAAGAATCGGGGAAGAAACAGGACAGCAGAAGCACTACCTGAATCTCTACTTTGTAAAGAGCTAATTGTAGAACTTTAAATTTAGGAACAAGTTACAGGTAATGTGCAGATTCGGATGTGGGATTAAAAATACTCATTTTTATATTTCCACCTGTGTTAGTGAAATCTAACAAAGGTGTTAGGAGATGCAAATAAAAAGTTGACTACTAGAAAATTAAAATTAACTTTACTGATGGAAAGTTAGTTTGGCAACAAAGATCAAAAGTTTATCAAATCTAACAACTAAGTTGCTAAAAATTGGAAAAGAAGAAATCAGTATTACCAGAAGCATTGAAGTTGAGTCACTGGACTTTTTATCCCTACTCCCACCCCTGAAGACTTCCCAGATGAAATGTGTCAACTTCAATACAATGGGTTTTGCAAAGTTTTGTATGTTCTAAATTGGAGATACATTTAGCCTTATGTTAAGACTCATTCTACAAGCAGTTACTGCACATACGCTACAGACTACAAGTTAGTTAAAAAAAAAAAGTAAAGGTGTGGGCAGAGGCATTATAGATCACATAAAGATTACGATTCAGTCATTAAAGGAATCAAATTTTTCAAAAATATTTGGCAAAAATGTTTATTTGCTACTATAGTAGACCAGATGGTTTTTAGAGAAAGTGAAAACATGAGAAAATAAAGCGTATTACCACAGGTGCTCCTATTACATACTGTGTTCAAAATTGTTTATTCTGCAACAAACTAGGAACTGGAATTTAGAAAGCATTAGCTCAGGGTGAGCATACAGTTCAAGAATGAGGAATATGATCCAAGGTTCCAGTGAACTGGATGCTTACAGTGATTTATAGCAAGTTGCTTCATTTTCCAAATGTCCTTTTTTTAATCCTAAAAGTACAAAAATCAATGTTTATCTTACCAGACTGCTGTGAGATGTAAATGAGATGACACATGCCAAGATCTTGAAAAGGTACATAATAAGTACCCAACTGGTATAGCTATTTTAAGGATCTTATAATCTTGCTTTATTAGGTTGTTATCAGACCAATAGCTAATTATGAAACAAAAAAATCAATCACCTTAGTTTGCCTGGCTAAACAGTAACACAAAAATATCTCTACTGAGATGCCTAACCATTGACACTGAATCCAAAGGAGGCAGATGGGGAAAAAAGGGACAGTGGAAGCAATCAATATGCTGTTTCATAGTCTCTCCCAGTTAGTAAAAGATGAGCTCAAATGGAAATACAAAAACATTCCCAGAAATATACAGTCTCCATGACTGTATAATATAGGGATAACGCACGCACTGAAAACTGGGTAAAGTGTTTACATAGAAATATTTACAAGACTTAGGGCTGTCCTTAAATAAAAGTTTACTTGACAAAATTCTTCTGACAAAAGAGTTGGGCTTAGTGGTACACTCAAGTAACTAATTTTCAGCCTTATGTTAAAAAAAAAAAAAACTCTTATCTGTATCTCATATCGTTTACCTCAGCATTGACACAGAAGAAGAGGCAACCCTGTGGTTATGGAAAGCCAACTCTTTCCTCTTCCCCTACTTAGAGGTAAATCACTCCAGTTGTGATTGTGCCCTTCTCTCACTTGAAGCTACCTTTTTTCACTACTGAGTTATCCACTTTGCTACACAATATAGTCTATCATTACCAAGGTGGAAAAACTCTTGATGTTGAGGTCACTTTGATTTTAATGGTTCATTTTAATGATCTCTCTGATGTCAAAACTCCTTAGAAGCAGCTGGTAGTTAAGTAGAGAACGCTTCCTTAGCATGCGTCCTGAGGTCAATCCTCAGCAGCCAAACAACAAAAAAAGGCAAGAGCTGGCTATGGACACAAGATGCATTTCCTGCTTTCATTCTCTCCCTAACCTGTTCCCAGTGGAGCTCAATCATGATCTCCACAGCTTGTCCTTACTCTCAATTCCACTAAGCTTTGTCAGCAAGGAAGAACATGACTTCACCAAACATTCAACAAACACTTAACAACAACAACTACGTACTGAAAGGCCTAGGGAGTTCTAGATGTTCGGGATAAATAAAGTCAGACAAAAGTATTCTTTGTATTTACAGCTGCTAGATGGACAACAAATACAAAAATATACAGCATAATGTCTGAAAACAAAGCAGGGTAGAGATAGAGAGTAATGAAAGATAGATAACATGGACAAAATAAGTAACTGGTTTCTGTTACTTTTTTTGTAATAGTTCTTCATTAGTCAGGAATAGGCTGACAACTGTCTGGAGTCTGACAAGTGCAGCTCCCTTACGTACTTCCATAGAGCAAAAATTATGCAGCCTTTGAAGGGATTTCCATCTACCTCAATATCTGTTACTTAACAAGCTTTCATTACTGCCTCACTATGTTCAGTGTCTAAGGACTGGCACATTTTAGGCCTTAAAAGCCTTTTTCCCCTCAACTGATAGCCTCCGTTCCTAGATATTTTCAAGAAATTATAAAGATTCTCAATGCCAATAACTCACCAAATGTATAATTAATCCCAACCTATAGCAAAAACTTCAAGACTTATATCCAATTGGATATCTATTATCTCCCTTTTTAGGTATTAATAAACATATAAAACATGGAATGATAAACGCACAACTCAAATGTGCCCTTAATCTGCTCCTTCTCTTGTATTGCCCTTTTTGCTATAACATGTATTCAGACTAAAAACCTATTACTTATTCTTGATTTCCATTTCCTACCACTTTTAATAGAAACCCATTCTCATTGTTGGAGCCTCATCTTGAACTCCTGGGCTCAAAGGACCCCCTTGCCTCAGTTTCCTCAACAGTTATGTCTATAGGCATGTACCCCCTTTTAATCATGGAATTTTTAACCAGCCAAACAGATTTTTCTTTTTTCTTTTTTCTTTAAAGAGAAACAAACAAACAAACAAAAAAAAGACATGGAGGGAAAAAAAGGGTAGAAATAATACAGAATTACAGAAAAATAAACAGTAAGAAATCACCAATTGATAAGTCATCTTAGAAACAGTTGTTCAGGTTACAAAATTAAAGTATGTAAAATGATATTCAAATAGTGACACTGCCAACAGTTCTGCTTAATAATCCAACAAAAACTTAGTAATATGGTTATCAGTCCTATTTTATCTTAAAGAGGGTAAGATTAAACATATCAAAACGGAACAAAACAGTTCAAAAAGAAACAATTTAAAGAAATACAGATTTCAAAGCAAGTCCACTGCAGATCTTCACTGTCTATCTTATTGTCTCTAGTTTTCTTCCAAATAGTTGCCCCCATCTTCGCACACATTGAATACATACTGCATATTATAGAACTAATCAAATCATTACAGGATGATGAAGGCTTTTTAGGTCTTCAAGATCTGACATTGGGGAAGACACTAATCACTATCACAGTGTCTCTCATTCTCTTCATAGTAGCTGTCCTTATCTTTACGTATGCTGAAATTGAACTTAGACTAGACTAACATCACTCTGAACAGTGAATAATAGTATTGCTAGATTGTATATCATAATGCTACAGAATTAGCATTGGGTTTCTTAGTGTCTCTTCTTC